CCTAAACCCTAAACCATAAACCCTAATTGAAGTTCTTTTGGGCCTTTGAAAATGTTTTTAAAGTGTTTACACTCATATGTGGAGTTTAAGGATTAGGGTTTGCGGATTAAGGTTTAGGGTTTAGGGTTTAGGGCTGACCGCTCAAGTGACCCTGCGAGCTTCAGGCCGCAGCAGGGTCACGTTCGCGGCCACTGCGTAAACCCTAAACCCTAAACCCTAAAACCTAAACCCTTAATTTTTAAGCACATTTTGGCAACGGAAGAAGAAGATCACTCATCCGTATTGGCGTTTAATGCTAAGGGTTTAGGAATTAGGGTTTAGGGTTTACGCTGGGGCCTTGCGCTCAGCAGATGCAGCCCCGCGAGCTAGAAAACCCTTATATACAAGCCCTAAACCCTAAACCCTAAACCATAAACCCTAAACCCTAAATAGGAGGGACTAGAGTACCGAGGTGTAGTGGTTGTTTCAGCAGTTAATGTTTCTTTTATACCCCAGGGCTCACTAAACCCTAAACCCTAGGCCCTCCGGCCACGCCGTTGTACGAAGGACCCTAAACCCTAAACCCTAAACCCCAAGATCTAAACCCTAGTCCCAAGCCCCTAATCGACGGAAAGATTCAAGCGAGCTCTACTTGCTGTCTTCTCAAGCCAATCTCTCTTAGTTCTATTATCTAAACACTAAACCCTAAACCCTAAACCCTAAAGCCTCCATCCAAAGCTATAAACCTCAGAACCCGAAGCAGCAAATCCTCCTTGGAAACCTTCCTGCTTCTGCAGCATCACCTGCGAGCTCGCAGCAGCAGCGAACTGCAGCAGCAGCAGCAGCAGCAGCACCACAAGCAAAAGCAGCAGGAGCAGCAACAACAACAAAATAAGCAGCAAAAACAGCCACAGTAGCAGCCGCAGCAGCAGCAAGAGCAGCAGCACCCGCCGCCGCCGCCGCCGCCGCACCAGCAGCAGCAGCAGCAGCAGCAGCAATGTATGAGCAGCCCAGGGGCCCGCCTTTACTGGGGGGCCCCTGGAACAGCAGCTACTCATGGGAAGGCCGGCGGCTATCAGATTCAGGTGACAAAGCAGCAGCAGCAGCAGCAGCAGCAGCAGCAGCAGAGAATGCGCGGAGCTGGTCAGGCAGCTACGCAGCTAGCCAAACAGCTAGCCAGGCAGCTAGCTACTCAGCTAGCTACAGCAGAGGACAAGACAGCAGCAAAGAATCAGATTTTGCTGCTGCAGCTTCCTACGGCGAGGGACCCTTCGCTGCTGCTGCTGCCCAGAGGCGTCACCAGCAGCAGCAGCAGCTGCAGCACCAGCTGCTGCAGCAGCAGCGGCTGCAGCAGCAGCAGCAGCGACAAAGGCAGCACCGCCACTGGCAGCAAGAGTCGCCCCGGGAAATGCTGAGAAGAAGGTCAAGTGCAACATTAGAGCTCTTGCGGCAGCAGCAGCAGCAGCAGCAGCAGCGGCAACGGGAGCAGCAAAGAAGAGCCCGCCAGCAGCATCACATGCAGCAGCAGCAGCAGCAGTACAGTGACAGTGGGAGCTCTTCATACTTCAGAAGAGAAGAGGCAGCAGCAGCAGCAGCAGCAAATGCAGCAGCAGCAATAAGACACGCACAGAAGGCAGCAGCTCTTAATAACAGTTTTGCTGAAGTCCAGCGGACGCTGCAGCGCGCCATTCAGAAGAGGACTGGCCTGCAGGAACAGCAGCAGCAGCAGCAGCAAGAGCAGCAGCAGCAAGAGCAGCAGCAGCAGCTGCTTTTCCCCAGCCGCAGCGAAGCAGACGCGAGGCACGATGAGGTGTACAGACAGCTGCTCAGCAACGGAGCGAAACAAGCAGCAGCAGATGCTGCTGCTGCAAGGCAGTCAGGACAGCAGCAGCAGCAGCAGCAGCAGCAGTCTTTCGTAATTGAGGGAACCTTCACTGCCAGCTGCACAGCTTCTCCTGCAGCAAGTCCGCCCCACACTCCGGTGCCTGCGTGCAGAGGGGCCCCATCAGCAGCAGCAGCAGCGGCAGCAAGTGCAGCAGCAACGGCAGCAGCGGCGGCTTCTGCTGCAGCAGCAGCGCAGCAGCAGCAACAGCAGCAGCCGCAGCAGCAGCATGAGAAAGACACTACCAAGCTGCCTCCTAGAAAACCTGAAGCAGCAGATGCTAGCGCATGCGCTGCGACCCAGCAGAAGCAGCTGCAGCTCCGGCTGCAGCAAGAGGAGCAGCAGCAACAGCAACAACAACAGCAGCTGCTGCTGCTGCAGCAGCAGCAGATTGTGGAGGCTGTACAGACACCCCTGTCAGCTAGCTCTAATGCTTTGGCGAACGAAATGCTGCGGCGCCAGCAGCTCCAGCAAGAGCAGCAGCAGGTTTTGCAGCACCAGCAGCAGCAGCAACTGCTGCTGCAGCAGCAGCAGAGGCTGCAGGAGCAACAAAAGCAGCAGCAGCAGCAATATCTGCAGCAGCAGCAGCAGCAACGACAAATGGCAGCAGCTGCTGCCTCTAGGCCTCCAGGCCCAGCA